GTTTAAAAAACAAAGACCTCAGTATGAGGCTAAGTCTCCAGGAAGAAGATCATGAGTTCAAACACCAGCAATGCTGGAAAATAGGAGTGGCCCCCCCCCTTACCATCTCTCCTAATGATGCAATCGCTACAAAGAATTTTTTGTTTCCCGTCTTTGCAACTGTAGATATCTACAGTGTCAGACAGACCTCCTGGCCCCTTGCAAAGGATAAGGCCACATTACCAGGGAAGCCACTAGACCTGTGAAGATGATAAATGATGGCGAGAATGACTAGTGGATTTAGGAGAGAATAAGCATTAGCTAGACTTTAGACCTTATAACCTATGCAGCATCATGGGTTATAACTTACCTTTCCAAATCGTTTTTTTAAAAATTATTCCTTAGAAGGACAGGTCAACAGAAACCAAAAAGAAGCTGTCCCTCGCCCCAGGCCTTCTTGGGTAGAGTTCTCTCTGTGGTGCAAAGAGTAGATTACAATGGTCATAAAAAATGACCAATCTCTTGGTACAGCCTGGCAGCTCCCAACCAATGGACAAGTGCATAGAGGGCAGTCACATGGGTTCGTTCCTGACAGATGAAAAACTTCTCTAATCAGAGATTTTCAATTGTGACATCCCAGACACAGATCAAAACGTTCATAGAACAGCACTTTAGCCTGAGACCTTGCCTACTGAATTTTCTTTTTTAAAGTTTTAAGTTTTTCCAATTTTATTTTGTGCTTCTTTTCTTCATGGTTTCAGGGTCTTATCAAAGTAATTCCTCCTTTATCCTGTACAAGTGTTTGCCCAATAAATATCTTGCTCAGAAAAATTGTTTTGGTATGTTTCTCAGAGATTCTGAACTAATGTAAGAGCTAATAATTATTTTTCTTCTTTAAATGTAAGACAGGGTTTGAGATACTTGGATCCAAAATTAGTCAAATACTCATAGGCCACAGGAAAAATTTTCAAATTTTTAGCAGTATGCTTAATAATCTCAATAACTTACATAAACGTGTTTGTTATACTTGTTCAAATTTGCTATTTTCAGAATATAATTTGCTTTTATTTATTTTATTTTTATTTTTTTTGCAGAACCAGGAATGAACTCAGGCCCTTGCACTTGCCAAGCAAGCGCTTATTCTACTGAGCCATCTCCCTGGCCTATAATTTGCTTTTAAAGTTACCTCATTCCTACAGTTTAACTGACTGTTTCTGTTCAAGAGGCAATACATACTTAAATAAAGTAAAAATTTTACAGATTAGTGAAGTAGGGATTAGAAACAGTAAAAGTCAACTGTATCCAAGTTGACTAAAGAATGAAAACAATTACTGCTAATACCATGGGTAAACCTCAAAAATCATCAAAGAGCTGTACATAAAAATGTATGTTCTGTGTAACTCCATTTATATGAGCTTTCAGAAAAAGCGTATCTCTCACCTAGCCTCAAAAAGTTCTCAGTGATCATCTAAGCCTCCAAGCGGATTGATGGCAAAGGGGAACAATAGAATTTTGAGGGTGACAAAATTCCTTATTTTGTCACAAGTGGTTGTTTATTAATTCATTGAACTACACTGAAAATGGATGCATTTATTGCATATAAATAATGCCTTGATAAAATTGGTATTTTAAAACACACAATTTTCAACATTGTAAAAAACTTGAGCCGAGATATTCTGCTTTACCCAGATTACTGTATTTTTTCAGTCTAGATTTTGTAATATTCTCCTAATTGTAATTCTGGAGAGACTCAAGCTTCCTTCCAATCTGTCCTTCACTTCGGAGCCAGAGTGATATTTCGAAAAAAAAAATGTGATCTAACAACTCTTCACAATTCTTTACATTTATCAGTTAGGATTCAATTAGAGAAACAGAACCACTACGATATAGAGAAAAATTGTACACACTTTTGAGAACGAGCTGAACAGCTTCTGTAGTACTATTATATTCACCTACTATCTTCTGATGCTAGAGTTTGAAGTCCACAAGGCTAGGAGGTGGGAAGACAAAAGTAAAGTTCCCTGTAAACATAAACACAAAAACAATCAAAATCTGGCAGTTGTTCCAATTTGGGTGCTGTAGGGCAGAAGCTACATCCTTCATTAACATGCAGCTAAACACGTGCCTGTTCAAGACTCAGAGATGGCAGGATCTAGGGGAAACAGATCAAGCAATGTGTATCAGCTAAAAAACAGCAGCTGCTGCTGAGTGTGGTGGTCCAGCTGTAATCCCAGCTGTTGGAAGGCTGAGGCAGAAGGATTAGTGTGAGTTCAAGGCCAGCCTGGATCACATAGTGAGACCCTATCTCAAAAACCTAAACTCAGGAGCTACTTCACTCCCCTCCTCCCATAAGAAATCTCTTATGGTCAACACTAACCAAAAACACAAGTAACAGGAATATTGAAAATTAGTTCCGCTCAAATAAATTTAAACCTTACAAGGTTATCATACCATTTTCAACCTCAAATGGCTTCGCATCACCTTATTGCCTGAACAAAACTGACTTCCACCAGATTTTCTGACATTATCTCCTAGTCCTCCTCTCTCGTGTACATTGTAATTATGTTTAGTATAAATGTTCTGACTTCTAGGCCTTTTCACACTGAATTCTCCTGCCTGTAACATCTTTCTTTCCCATCTTCCCCTTCAACCTGAGACCTATCTGTACACACATACACACCTTCTTTGAAACATTCCCCTTACCCTGGGGACCAATAAAAAGCCAGGTCGGTGCTAGCACCCAGTAAGTTTCAGTTGTTCCACTATATGTTACAGATGTGTATCTTAATTATTTTCTCATAGCTGAGACATACTATTCAACATCCACAAATCAAAGGAGGAAGGGTTTATTATAGTCTAAAAGTTTAGTCCAGTTGGCTGGCTCCAAGGCAGGGTGGCATGCCACAAGATGCTTGCTCATGGCACGGCAGGCAGGAATCAGGGGGGGGGGGCTCAAAAAGAGATACTTCAGGCTGTATCCCCAGTGCCCTACCTCTTCCCATAGGCTTCACTTCCCAAATCACATTGAACTACCCATCTGTGGACTGATCTATATATAAGTATCATGACCTCATGATCCAATCACCTACCAAAAGCCCCATCTGTGAGAGCATGAAGTTCTCCAGAGACATCTAGATATAAACCCGAAAACTATGTGAACACATGGCTGGAGTTTGAGGGGGACAGGAGATAGTGTTACAGTCAAGGTCACTGGATAGGAAATATATAGCCTACTGAAATGTGGACAATCCTATTCATTTGTGCTAAAATACACACATCCCATTTATACTTTTTCATTCTTACTTCTATTACAACAAAAACTGTCCTAGTTTGAATCACCCGAAAAGCAGAGTATGAGAAAAGGTGGTTTGTTTGGGAATAGAATTAAAAATCAGAAAAGAGGAGCTGGGCATGGTGGCACACACCTATAATCCCAGCACTGAGGCCTAGGCAGGAGGATCACACCCATTCAAGGCCAACCTAAAATGATGAAGTGAGACCTGTCTCAAAACAAACAAGAGGGGTAGGAAAGAAAAAAGCCAGTACGAGGGCTATTACTGGGTTGGTTCATGCTTGGGCAACTGAAGCTCCCACTCAGTGGGAGGCCTTACAAGTAGCTCTTGCTCTAAAGGAAGGCAGAGACATTTACCAGCTGCCATGTTCACTGGCTGAGTGATATCTCTGGTGAACCAACTCCCACCCAAACACTTCCAACCTCCTGCAAATGAGTCAGACCCTTTAGCTGTTGCGAAATTCTCAAAGCAGAAAAGGCAAGATGACTAGCACTGGTGGGGAAATGCTGCAGGAACACAGGCTACTGCCATGATTGCACAGTGGCAGAGGGATGTGGCCTGAGTTACTGATAATTTGTGTTCCAAAGATCTTTATCTCCGCTAATCATTTGGTCCCAGAATAAATACAAGAAGATAAGAAATGCAATTCATTTTTACTTCCTTCTTTCAGGAAACCAAGAGCTTGGGGAGTTATGAAAATTTCATTAACTCACTGAATTACAATACAAGTAATTCAAAGAAAATGTTGAAATGGGAAAGGAGCAATTAGATCATTACAGGCTGACTCAAAGAATGTTGACCGATGATAAAAACTTACAGTTACATATTCCAATATACTGTATGTGAATCATGAACCTAACTGTACCATTTAGCAACCCTGCCTTGCAAGATGAATTGGTCTTTAAATATCTGTGAGAGGGATAAAAGCACATAAAATAGGGGCCGGGGAGAATAAGCACTTGCCTGGCAAGCGTGGGGTCCTGAGTTCAATCACCAGTACCGCAAAAAAAAAAAAAAAAAAAAAGCCACATAAAATATCTTAGAAGTTGTCTGACCTAGAATATTAAGAAAGTAAATCAGTGGTTCTCATGTGTAGGCTATTCTGCCTTCCAGAAAACATTTGGCAATATGTAGATATTTCTGGTTGTCAAGATTAGGGAAGGAGTTGTTACTAGAATCTAGCAGGAAGAAACCAAGATGTTACGAAATATGCTATAATGCACAAGACAGCTCTCCTTTACCTAATAATGAATTATACCAACAGTCCAAAGGTTGAGAAACCTTTATGTAGATAAAAAAGTATTTCAGTATTGTGAAGTGAATATATGCATGTTATTTCTATATTTACATTTAAAAAACCAATATTTAATTACATACATACATACTTCTCCTACATGCCAGCAATACAAAGTGTTGCATTTGTACCACCAAAACCAAAGGAATTGGTGAGTCCAATATACCTTTTATCAGTTTTCCATTCTTGTGCCTTTAAAGGAACATAATTGAGATCAAATTCTGGTTCTGTACAATCCAGGTTTAAAGTTGGCGGCAGTTTTCGATAGTAACAAGCCAGTGCAGTAAAAGCTGCCTCGACTACGCCTGCAGCACCCAGCAGATGTCCTGTGGCTCCCTTTGTCGAGGAAACTGCAAGGGCATACGCATGGTCTTTGAAGAGATGCTTGATAGCTTTGTTTTCTGCAGCATCTCCCAATGGTGTAGAAGTCGCATGTGCGTTGACATAGGTTATCTCTTCCGGTTGTACACCTGCATCTTTTATAGCAGCAGCCATACATCTAACAGGAAAAGAAATTTAGCTTATGAGAACTAAGTTTAGTTTTAACAGACTTTTTACCTGAATGACTTGTGCAAAAGAAACCTGGGTATCCAAGGACAATGGATGAGCCCTCTCTCGGATCGCCTGCACCTTAAATGCTGTCTGCTTGGGAGTAATGAGTCACACCCCATCCCTCGGACTGATCCATCACCGTGCGTTGAACACACTGAAGACTGTATCATCTCAAATAAAATATAATTCCACTTATTAGGATTGGCATTTCCCCCCTTGGGGAAAAGAATCATGCTCACTCAAGATTACAATGATTTCCTCTTAAGAATTTTTCATGGAAAGAGGGAAGCTGGATATTTAAAATATCTGAAACTATGTTTTAAGTTTTCACTCATGTATAAATGCAAAAATTTGGCATACTGCCCAATAATCTACTACTTGCACTTCAAATACCTTTCAACATCCTCCTTATTTGCAGGGTATGATGGTACACTCTTGAAATCCCAGCACTCAGGAAGCTGGGTCAGGCAGATTACCATGAATAATAATAATAATTATTATTATTATTTTTTTATTTAGTAGAGGGTCTACAGGGTCTCACTACACAAATCAGACTCAGTGATCCTCTTGTTTTCAGCCTCCCAAGTGCTGGGATTATTGGCACACAGCACCATGCCCAGTCTCAATTGCTGTCTGAGCGCATCTGTGGGTCCTGGCATGACATGTAGGGGATCAAACCCCGGTCCTTGTGTCTGCCTAAGCAGGTGCTTTAACCTGCTGAGCTATCTGGCTGGCCCTAAATTCCTTTCTTCTTCCTGTTCTTCCTGTTCTCCTTCTCCTTCTCCTTCTCCTTCTCCTTCTTCTTTTTTTTGGTAGCACTGGGGATGGAACTCAGGACCTTATACTTGCCAGGCAAGTGCTTACGCCACTGAGCTATATTCCCAGCTCACCAAGAATTTGATGCCAGCCTAGAGCTACAAAATGAGTTCAGTTGAAAGGCTGCCTAAACTACATAGCCAAACCCTACCTCAAAAAAACACATTAAAAAAAAAATCCTATGTATTTATACTAGAAGAATTCTAAATAAATACAGAAACCAAAGAACAAATCTAAAAATAAAAATTTCCTGGAGTAATTTTTGAAAACGTGGATGTCATCTGGGCATGACACCCACCTATAATCCCAGGAGGATCACTATGAGTTGAAGACCACTCTGAACTATTAAGACTCTGTCTCCTCCTAGCCAGGGAGATAGCTCAGTAGAGTAAGTGCTTGCCTGGCAAGCACAAGGTCCTGAGTTCAATCCCTGCTACCACAAAAACAAGACTGTCCTAAAAACCAAAAAAAAAAAAAAAGGTAACTTGGATGTCGATGCCTTTTTCATAGTTGATCTTTAGGCTGTATACATTTATTAACAAACAGCTTTATGTATAAGTAACTCTTCTTTTTTTTTCTTGAGACAAGGTTTAACTATACAGTTTAGGATGGCCTTCAACTTGCTATGTAGCCCAGTCTGGCCTAAAACTCAGTGATCCTCCTGCCTCAGCCTCCAGAGTACTAGGATTACAGACATGATCCACCATACCCAGCAAAGGTAACTATTTGTACAACTAGCTAGTTACTATATTTGACATGTCTAGCATCAGCAAGTACTAACACTCAAAAGTATAATTTAGAGCTCAGTAAACTATAGCTCTGACAGATTTATTTACTTATGTAAATACTGTAGCTTTACTAGAAAACCTATTCATTTGTGTACTACTGTCTGACTAGTACAAAGGCAATGGTGAATAGTTTCAGATGAGATCCTATGGTCTACATGGACAAAAATATCTACAATTTGTCCCTTTAAAGAAAAGGTTTGCTAACACCTGATTAATTTAACTGGGTAAAGTTAACTCATTAGATAATATATTAACTTTTTTTTTTTATTAACCTCAACTCATTACTTACCTCTTCTACAAAAGTTAAGTGCTTTGCAAAGTGTGGCCCTTAGACCAGGTAACATCACTATTACCTAAGACCTTATTAGAAACGTAAAATCTCAAGAGCTACCCTGGGCCCATAGTCAGAATCAGCATTTCAGTAAGATCCCTGGATGATTAAAGTTTGAGAAGGATGACTTGAGAACAGAACCTTGGAACGGAGCACAGACCAGACACATCTAGAAGGGTTGATTTTACTCTGTAAGTCTGATGAAGGGAAGAAAAGAGGACGTGGAGAGATGCACACTGATGTTTATTAAACACAAATGGAGGCCTGGAAAAGTAGCAAAGACATACAGTCTCCTTCACAACTTTACCAGCCTTAACTAAAACCAAATTTTTGTAGAGTTGTTCAAATATTTCAAGCAAGAAACTAAAAACCAATTTGGCTAACCTAAAGTGGAAACACAACAGATACTGTATTCCAAAAAAATTACAATTTTCTCCAATTGGAGAGTTCACCAGACTCTTACATGAAAAAAAAAAAAAAAAATATTTACAACAAAACACCCAGTTTTACCTTAAGGCACCTTCTCCTTCAGAATCAGGGGCCGTTATGTGACCAGCGTCACCTGAGAGTCCATAGCCCAGAACTTCCGCATAGATCCGGGCCCTTCTTTTAACAGCATGTTCATATTCTTCCAGCACCAGCACAGCTGCACCTTCTCCCATTACAAAACCATCCCTCTTGGGATGAAACGGCCGACAAGCCACCTTAGGATCTGGGTTTGTGCTTAGAGCACGGGCTCTAGAAAACCCAGCGAGAGATAAAGGACTAATGCAAGAATCTGTACCTCCAGCCACCATGACATCAGCATCACCATGCGCTATAAATCTGAAAGAGTCTCCCACAGCATGAGCTCCTGTAGTACAGGCTGTGGAAACTGCATGATTAGGGCCCTTGAATTTATGTCGGATACTGACCTGGCCTGCTGCCATATTAATCAGGATCTTAGGGACAAAAAATGGACTCACTTTATTGTATCCCTTTGTCTGAAACATCAGAGCAGTTTCAGAAACAACTTCGAGGGGAATCATTCCCATCCCAATGGCGACACCAGTAGTCACTTGATCGGCTTCTGACTCAGGATGCCAGCCGGAATCTTTCAGGGCTAATTCTGCTGCCCCAATGGCCATGACGGTGGGAGAAGACATGGACTTGACATCCGACTTGGACACAAAGCTTTGTTCATTGAACTGACCTTCATCAAAACCTCTTGGCACATACGCGGCAACACTGCAAGGGATAGCTTTATACGCTTCGCCAACCAGTGAAACAATTCCACTTTCTCCCTGGAGAAGACGATCCCATACTATCTGAGTTCCAACACCGAGGGGAGTCACTAAGCCAATCCCTGTAACGACAACCCTCCTGTGCAATCCGGATGTTGGCACAGTTCCAAAAAACCTTTTATTTATGAACTGCTGGCATAACCTTGAATATAGAAGATGAGTGCTTGCAACTTTTAGAAAATTTCCTAAGCAGTCTGACAACATGTCGAGACTTCAGATGATCAGAAACAAATTCCTGTAACAAACCACAAAACAGCTGGGAAATATTCATTGTTTAAATAGCTTAAGGGTCTAACAGCACTCCAGATGTTCCTTGAGGCTCTTAGAAAACGTAACACCATTTTATACTTCATCATCACACCGCCTTTCAGACTGCGACTACTCTCAGATATTAGAGGACAAAGAAGTGAACTGATGATTCACTCGATTTAATAAGGCAATTATAAAATGAAAACTATGCTATTCCTAACATGATACGAACTGGAAAAGGCATCCTTTTAAAGGATTACTTAGAATTTATTTTAAGCATTATTTCTGGAGTCCGCAGCACTGAAGTCACATTTCTGGGCTTATTTTCTGAGGTGGGGTAAGTGAGCCTTACTGATCTTATTACTGAGGGGTTTCCAGCCTTTTCAAAAGGCACCCAGAACCAAGAGCCGGAGATTGAGCGTCTGGGCACCTGGGCTGAGAACTGGCTCAGTAACCAGGCCTGTAAATTAAGGAAGAAGCCTCTGCACCCCAATAAACTTGTCCAGTCGAGTCACCTGGAAGAGGAGGTCAGGGCGAGACGATAAATCCAAGGGTACCCCAGGGCCAGGGGCAGGGAGTAAAGGGTGTAAACTATGACACGCACTGCCTCTCAAGCACCACACACGGGCACGCACGCACGCAGGAAGAAAGCATGGCAAGACCAAATCCAGCCCCTAATCCCCTGGCTTCCTGCTCGAAACCTAACCCCTACCTAATCTGCGCGGAGGGACCGACGTAAGCAAAACCAGAAGCTGTTGGGAGCCGTGGGCTAGCGCCAGGCGAGCAACCAGTTCTCCACGTTGGAGACAGCGCGCGCACGCACGCACGCACGCACGCACGCACGTACTTACGCAAGCGTGACGACAGAGCGCGCCTCAGCCGTTCGACCTTGCGCGGGTAGCTGCGCTTTGAGGTCTGTAATCTGAGACTGCGGTCCGGCGGGTTTCTTTGAGACGCTCCTGAATACCGCATTTAAGCGATGGCAGATAGAGCCCTGCGCGCCTTGCATAAAGAAAGCCTTGCGCTCAGCACAGAGGAGCTTCGGTGGAGCGGGAGGCGGGTTGGTAGTGCCTAGATAGTCATTATTCCACTGAAATCCTAGGAAAGGAAATGATTGTAATCTCCGAAATTACTACTGCGAAATTACAGCTTCTCCGTGCTGTTCCTAAGACTGAGAGATGACCAACGTCATTGGCAGGACATTGGCTGCATTTGCAGTACATCCAGATGCCAGGCGGCACTTTAAAATCGTTCTACAAGGTGAGAACTGTGTATGTGCAAAGATCCTGAGACTCCTGGCCGATAAAAACTACAAAACAGTACACAAAATATTCATTTTTTAAAAAGTAATTTTAAAGGGCTATAAGGATGGACAGTGAGTGTGGTGTTCACCCCTTTGTTTAACCAAGTTCTACCTTTTTCTACAGTAATCAGTATTTTTGTAATAATAGCTTTTTGCTCTGAGAAATTGTTGTCCAACATCTGACAGAATGAAAATTAAAATAATGGGGACATTTATTTCCAAACAGCTGAATTTTTCATTTATTTGCTTAGAGCTGGCTATGCATTTTTAAAGGGAAACTTACAACAAATACATTTAAAAGTCAGCAGGTGGTGTTTATTGACCATTTGCTGTTCATGTACTATCTCAGGTGGTTGATCATAAAGTATGCGCCTGAAGTTTTTAGTGAAATTTATGTGTCTTCCTGGGTGATAACCTTTTGAAACCATTGTTACGAGGTAGATGACTTTTCCTTCTGTCCGACCTCTGGAAAAGAATTTGTGTCAAGTTCAGCTTTTTCTTGCTAGTCCCATATTTAAATGAAATTGGAAATTTACCTTGAAATATTATAGAGGTGGTGCTCACCTGTAATCCCAGCACTCTGGAGACTGAGGCAGGAGCGTCACCGTGCACTTTAGGCCAGCATGGGCTACATAAGCAAGTTCAAGGCCAACCTGAGCTGCAGAGTGAGACTCTGTGCTAAAAAAGGGGGCTGCAGGGAGATGGCTCAGTGGAATAAGCGCTTCCCTGGCAAACACAAGGGCCAGAGTTCAATCCCCAGTTCCGCAAAAAAAAAAGGGGGGGGGGAGAAGCCCAATATAATCTTTAGTCATCCTTGATCTTGGGCTTATCCAGTTATCTTATAGTACTGTACTGTTTCTAGTCAGTGTAAACAATTATTTTAAGAAGAATTAGAATACACACATTAAATGTTTGTTACCATGTTAGAATAAACATGTTAAATAATAACATCGTTGATGGGTTAAAAGTAGCAACATTTGCTCTTTTTTTCACTGTTATAGAATAGTTTCAAAGTGTGAGGTGAAAGCCAGGCACGTTGGTGCACTCCTGTCATCTTAAGGCTTGCTTGGTGGACTGAGGCAGGAGGATCGCTGAGTTCAAAGCTAGCCTGGGCTACATAGTTCAAGCCCAGACTGAACTGCATAACGAGGCCCTGCCTCTAAATAAATGAGTTATAATGTGAAAAGACCTCCAAATGTTCTTTGAAGCTAAACTCACATGAAACATAGTTTTAATGTGTTGGGGGTTTTTTGTTGTTTGTTTTGTAATAAAATCATCTTGGACAAGAAGCAACAAATCATTTAAAATCTTACAGAAATAGAAAAAGATGACCATCCTTACTTTTAACCTCATCAGTTTTACTTTCCCCTGGAAGGGATGAAAACTCTTAACTCTATGTGATTTGGTACCATATTTCTTGCTATAATGCCATGGTGTTTTCTTGGAACTAAAAACTTCAAACTGGTCCTATTTATTATAGTCTTGTTAAGACTTCTTAGTTTAGTGGGAAAATAGTTTTTTGTTTTTGTTTTGCAGTATGGAGGATTGAACTCAGGACCTTGCGCTTCCCCGGCAAGTGCCCATTCTACTGAGCTAACTCCCCAGCCCAAGACTTCTTAGTTTTACTTCAAATTCCTTGTAATCTAGTCATAACTACAGCTCCCATTTTCTATTAAATATGCTTTCTAGGGGGGCCGGGGAGATGGCTCAGTGGAATAAGCACTTCCCTGGCAAGCACAAGGGCCTGAGTTCAATCCCCAGTTCCGCAAAAAAAAAAAAAGAAAAAATAATAATAAATAAAAATAAAAAAAAAATACGCTTTCTACCAGCAAATTGACACCTCTCTCCCCCGTGTCATGTGGGAAGATCAAACCCAGGGCCCCAGGTATAGTAGGAAAAATCCAGGACCCCAGAATTTGTATACTGAGCTACAACCCACTAGTGATCTCTTGATCTAACCTAGTTTTTCCTCATTTTTAAGCCTATGTTCCTATTTTCAACAAACACTGATTTTTCTTCTACCTTGTGTTAGAAGATGGAACACAAAAATGAATAGGATTATAATTTCTGTTTTCAAGATGTTCACAGTCCAGTAGGAGACAGCTATGGAAACAAATATGTGCAAACTACTGAATCAGGTGTTGATAAGAATCAGGTATAATATATTTACCATATTATAATACAAAAGGGACAATGAGGCTAATATGCTACCTCTTAGGTAAGGAAGGGTTTCAAAGAACTGAACCTTGAACTTCATCTTGGAAATAAGCAAGTATTTGTCCAACAAATCAGGTGGGAGAGGTAACCCAGGCAGGAGGAGCAGAACAAAGGCGTAAAGGCATAAAGTGTCAGGGTATCTTGCATAAACTACAGGGTTGTTTGCTATGACAAATGACAGAATTGAAGTATGGGAAAAGCAACATGAGAGGAAGGCAGGAGCCAGACAGATCACAAAGTTTGGATGACATACTAAGGCCTTTTTACTTAGTCTTATAGGTTAAAGATCATATGTCAGCAGCCCTGATGTGATTTAGAATGAAACTTACTTTTTTTGAGTCAGGGTCTCACTATGTGCCCCAGTCTGGCATCACACTCGTGGTGATCCTCTTGCCTCAGCCTCCCAAATGCTAGGATTATAGGTATGTTGCTAACAGCCCAGCTCTGGAACATTCTTTTAATTGAATCTAATTACCCGAGGAAGATTATGGAAAACTCTCATTTCCTTCATCATAACTTCCCTACTCCTATTTTTCTTGAATAAAACCACTTCATTACATCATATATTCATTACCTATTTGGCTCCCCAAACCACACTTTTTTTTGATTAGGGTCTTACTACATATCTTGGACTCATAGTGATCTTCCTGTCTCAGCCTCCCCACTCCTGGGATTACAGGGATGCACCACCATGCCCAGTTTCAATGGCTGACACAGTGCACCTGGGGGCATGGCATGAAGTACTGGGGATCGAACTCAGGACCTTGCGCTTGCTAGGCAGGCCCTTAGGCCTCTGAGGTGTCTCCCCAGCCTAACACTTAACTTTAGAATGTAGGCAAAGGGCCAGTTATGAGGCTGAAGCACTCTGGAGGCTGAAGCAGGAAGTCTGTTGAGAGTTCAAAGCCAACCTGAATTACAGTACGACCCAGTCTCAAAAAAAAAGTTATCAAGAGAAGCTAGAGAAAACTTTCTGAACAGAGAAACAGTATCAGATGTAGGCTTTAGGAAGATCATGAAGAATAGGGTGGGCTGGAAAGATGTGGGACTGAATACAGAGAAGAACGTTAAGGCCAGATGAAAAAGGCTGAGGGTATAGAAGGCAATGGAAGAGAGATGCAGGAAATGATAAGGAAATACTGCTGCAACACTGTCTTAGCTTCTTTCTCCTAGGTGAGATAAATATCCCACATCTGCAGGTTATTTTTGGCTTACAGTTTATAGAGATTTCAGTCCATAGCTGGCTGCTCCAAGGCAAGGCAGGGTGGCATAAGGGCACTGCAGCTTGCTTATGGTGTGACCACAGGAATCAAGAAGGCTCTAGGGAGGAGGGAAGCAGACAGATCCTTCAGGCCACACCCCCAGTTGACCACATCCTCCAAGGAGGCTTCACCTCCCAATCCAGTTTAGCTATAAACTCACTGTAGGGTTAATCCACAGATGAATATCAAGACCTCATGATCCAATCCCCTCCCAAAAAACTCACCTAGGAGTGCATGAGGCTTTACAACATCTACATATAAGCCAGAAAGGTACTATTCTGATTAGGTGTGGACAGTTCTCTCCCAGTTAGTAAGTCATCTTGCACTCCTTAAACTTTTTTTTTTTTGGCGGGGTGGGGAATGGAAGGGTACCAGGAATCAAATTCAGGACCTTGTGCTGCTGGTCAAGCACTGTGCCACTAAGCTGTCTCCCTCAGCCCCTCCTTAAACTCTCAGTTGAAGGATTCTGTCCAAATTCTCCCACCTCCAATACACTCTACAAAATTTTCCTTCTTTTAAATTAGGATTTCTCAAATTTTACCATGCATCAAAATCACATGAAGGAGCAAGGCATAGTGGCACACACCTGACCCAGTATTCAGGAGGTGGAGGCAGGAGGATCACAAGTTCTAGATCTTACATAAGCAAAATCAAGATTCTCTGGGCCCACTATTAAAGACAGGGCTTCAGAATTTCTGACATTTCCTATGAAGTTGATAACTGTTGCTCTAAACTTTTTATTTTGATTTTTTAAAAATATTTATTTATTTAGTACAGTGTCTCATTACCCAGCTCAGACGCAGAGTGATCCTCCTTTCTCAGCCTCCCCAGCGCTGGGATTATAGGCATGAACCACCATGCCTGGTTTCAGTGGCCAGCACAGCATGCCCAGGTTTCTGGGGCTGGCTCGGCATGAGGTACTGGGGA